AAAAAAAAAAAAAAATATCAGTACAGTAGCGTGTTCAGAACAGGCTCTTCCTTTGTTTTGTTGAGATGTCCCAGTAGCTCATCTTGTTGCTCAATTTTTCTCACTGCAGGACGTTCATTTAAATTAATGTGCTGGTTTGTTTGATACGATCATTCACTTGTTATTTTTTGTTAGGTATGTAAGTAGTTCCATCGGTGGAAAGTGTCTTTTTATTTGTCGTACAAGTATGTTAAATTGTTAGTGTTCTATCCGAGGTCTTGTCAACAAGAAAGGCTTTTAGGGCTGAACAGAATTCAAGTGGCTGGAAGCTGTGGGAAGGTAGTGTGTAAGTTCAGGTCGTGAATTGGTTTTGATGACGTGCCACTTTACTGGTAGGGTGGGACGCTCATAAGTTGGTTACGGTTGTGGAGAAGTCCTTACTTGCTCTTGTTCACTGTTTCGATGTGGTCCGATGGGCAAATGTGTGCGCCAGAAATAGTGTATTTGCAAAATGGAGGCTTGTTTGTCAACGTTGTTGTAGCCAAAGAACTCGTGTTACTCTGTACCTCACTGTTGTTGGAGTATCGTCCTTTAAGGCCAATCGGCAGTTCGGTGGCACTTCGAGGAGATTTATCTTCTATACTTTTTATCATTATCACAAGTTCTTCTAGAACTGCGGTCAAAATTATTTTGACGTTTCTCACTAAATGAAAGAACACGCAGCCAATGGGGGACAGTGGCAATATCAAATTTTAAAAAAAGTAAAAGATGGATCTGTCCTAAACAACAAACAACACTGTGTACTGATGAGTGACCAGACCAGCGTTAATGAAATACATCGAAAACATCAAGTTAAGCGCACTAGGTTTAACCAGAAAACTTGGTTAAGAAAATGAGTTTGAGCAATCTCCAGAGGCGGTTCTCGACTCCTTGTATCTTTAAAGTATACTCAGGATTCCCTGGTAATATAACAGTGAGATGATAACAATAACAATGGCAAGAAGTAACAAAGAACCAAAAAAAGCAAAAATAACTTAAAAGTTGCAAACTTAACGATCACAGCGGCAGAATGTACTTGAGATTAAAAGGCTTTAATACCCTTGAAGTCCATTATATATCTGAAATCATTTTTAAACAGTAAACGGTTTTTCGTAAGAATGTCATTAAAAAAGGAATTTAAGTGATTATCGTAAAGCTATTTCACAAACTCATAAAAAAACTAGCGACCTTTGGCTTAACGCTATCTTGCTTGAGCAATGATGCAACTGCAGCCTTCTCTTCTGCAGTCAGCTCTCCCCGAGGAAACTCGACATCAAACGTTACGTACAAAACTCCTTTGGTTGTTGTGTCAGTGAAAGATGGCATGCCTTCATCTTTCTTCCTAATCTTCGCTCCAGGCCATGTTATTTTATCCCTTGTCACCTGAAGGTAAAAACGTTAGAAATTTTAGAACCAAAGCATCACACTTTCGAGAAACTCGAATTTGCTTACGGTAACATCATGGCCGTCTAGGTGACGAATTTTAATTTCAAAACCAGACAATGCCTGTTGCAGTGATATAGTAACATTTGTGAACAAATCCATCCCACGTCTTTCAAACCGGGGGTGTTTCTTAATGCGTGTTACGAATTTCAAGTCACCAGGATCGCCTTCAATATGTGGTTCGCCTTCCCCAACAAAAACTTGCTCCTGACCCTCTTCCGCTCCTACTTCGACCTCAACCTGAAAAGAAATAACGAAGTACCGAACGAGAATCGGTAAATGGGATAATAAAAGAACTTTACTAGAACTGCTAAAAACGCTTAAAATAATAGAAATTTCAAATATGCAGTTAATGTTCCTATGGAAAAAACGGTTTGCAAGAAAAAAGGAAAAATAAGTAAAGGGGTTTACCTCGAGTGACCTTGTCTCCTGCGCAAGTTTTACATTGGGACATTCATCGCAAACTTTGACCTGATACATCTGAAACCTCCCAGCACCCATTTGTTCCGTTCGCATCTCGTGGTGACAGTTACACTGCCTCGTCCCAGACGTTGGTTTGTAGATAGACTTTGTCCTCAAAAATAATAAATCATATAATCAAAGAACTTAACCTGGAGGAAAATGACTAAATACGACACAATGAAATACCTTTTCACTTCAACAAAGTTTCCATTGTAAACTTCTTCGAGAGTAACCCAAAGATCGACGACAACATCAGCACCTTTAGGTGTACCTTCTGACTGAAAATGACCACCACCAAAGAAGTCACCAAAGAATGATGAAAAAGGATCATGCCCTCCGCTATCTCCAGCCATTTTAGCAACACCTTCTTCACCATGCCTGTCATAAACCTTTCTTTTCTCGGGGTCGCTGAGCACCTGAAAGTAAGCAACTGCCTTTTGTTAGCTGCATTTTTTACACGTCCATATGAAGGAAAAACAAAACAAAAAATACAATTACAAAAAATACAGGCTTCAACAAGGAAAAACACATTTTCCTAAGAAGAAAAGCTTCAAATAGGTTCCCCCAACGCAATCAGCAGAAAAAAGTATTAGGTTGAAGCACTTATAGTAGGAATTTGAAACTGTCCCCATTCAGTGAGATATAGCTATGCCAAACGAAAACCCCACATAGTATAATTGTCACCAGACGGTATGTCGACACGACACAAACGCTGAATTGGATTTACCGTTCGATGTCATGCAGGAAATTGAATCAGCTGTTGGTGAAGATTTCCTATGCTCACCTGATTTTTCAAAACCCTTCCTAACTTATCATCTCTTCAATCAAATTCCGTTTTTCTGTAAAAGCTGGAAAGTCTACATCGTTCAAAAAAACAACTGAAAAAGCTTTTTAGAAATCCCTCCGGTCATGAATCAAAATCCGTTTCAGTAGCGAAAAGTCCACTTATGGAAAAATGGAAAGTATACACCATCTGGCAGCGACTGTCTTTCTATCTTGGCACATGAGATATCCATTCAATATCGTCATACCTCACTGAGTGAAAACAGCTTAAATTTCAAACTCCGAATAAAGGAGCCTACCACTACCAAAACACAATATGCACTAATACTTTGAAAAAGTAGTTTCGCCACATTCATTACAAGTGTAAAACATTAATGAACTGTAAACCAAAACAAAGATTAAGTAACCTCGTAAGCAGCTCCCAAATCCTGGAACTTCTCATGGGCTACTGCATCTCCGTTATGCCTATCTGGATGTAATTCTTTGGCTAACTTTCTATAAGCTTTTTTAATTTGGTTCGTGTTGGCATTTTTTGGTACCCCAAGAATTTTATAGAAATCCCTGCCTGCAAAGACCTGACACAACTGCAGAAAAAGTACCAAAAAGGCCACCCACGATGAGCCACCCATTCGAGTTGCTCCTTGACACCACAGCAGTATTGTACGAAGGAGACGTTACGGCTGAAAACAATCAACTACAATGCACCATAAAACGATAATTTGATTCAAAAAATGCCCTGTCTTTTGAAAAATAACAGATCAACTACAATGCAGCATAAACATGATAATTGGATTTTAAAAATGTCCTGTACTCTGAAAACAAGATATTTTTGTTAGGCCAGCGGTACGGTAAAGTTAGTTGGCCTACAGTATCGCTAAAAATTACACAAACGAGCGTTCTTCCGTTGCCATACAACAAACGACAAGTAATCTGGATTTCAGTCGCACCTATTATTCCTGTTTAAAAGTTGTTGAAGGCTAAAGTAACATAGCAAAGAAAAAAATTAGACGTTTTCCTGGTTTTTCAAAAAAAAAAAAAAAAAATTGATATGTTACTTAAAAAATTATTTATAGGTGGAGATGAAAGAAAATGGCAGATGGTTTCAAACAACCAAACATTGGTGCTATGCCCAATGGGGAAGCACTTTGAAAGCAAAATTTTTAATCAGCGGTAGTGACACGTTGATAAACAAAAATCTGACACGTATTACACTTATCTATAAAAACGCAACTTTACCATTTGACCCGCAAAAAAGTAGTGCTGAAAAATTATTTGATCAAAAACAGGGTAAAAAAATTTGTTTATAAAGGTAGCATATAAAATCGCAACAAGCACTTTCCTGCCAACAAACATTACACATACAAGTCAATAACTGACCCGATTTGCATCTGAATATTCGGGAATTGTTTGAAACCTCAAAACGAAACCTTGGCACCCTGCCAATTATGAGTCGTCATTAAAATTCAATTTTTTCTTTCAGAACCTCGTGTTGTAGCCCTATTGTTGGGTTGGATGTGACTGCCCGTTTTTCGCCAGTAAGAAATTTGAATTTAGACCATTGAACTCGAGTTCGGTAATTTCGTTGTCACTTAATTGCTCTGAGTTTGCTCTTTATTGCTGATGTGAAGTTGTGTCGTCGGAATGCTGTATAGGCAAATAAATAAATTATAGGTGCACAGTTTGGCGACAACTCTTCTCTTTGGTATGGTTTTTTTGTTCGATATTAGCATATCTATTTGCTAAACAGCTTACGCAGTTCGTTGAACGCAAATGATTGTCGTGTGTATCCTACCAGTTTTTGAACGCACGAGTTCCGTTATCGTTTTGTTTCTCTTTTTTTTCGTTTGTTATTAATGCTTTAAGATGAATTGAATTATACCGTTCTATTTTTTTCGCTGCTGTTGCTGGTAAAAAAGTTACACATTTATTGCTTTACCGGTTTTTGGCTTTTTAGTGACGGATATAGTTCATTGAGTTTAAGGCTACTGAGTTCTGATTTTCTAAAAAATAACTCCACACTCTTGAACTTTTGCTACATGTCATTGTAACTTGATTTCTCAGAACGAGTTATTTTCGATTGGTCAACCAAATTTTGATTAGATATAGTAAGTTCAGATCATGAATAAATTTAACCAGAAGGTCTTGTTATTTGCAGTATCTTCGCACTTGTTCTTTGTGAGTTGTTATTTTCAGTCGAAAATGTGTGTATTTGTCTTTATTATAGTGTCCTTGACGTCGATTCGTTATTATCAGTGCAATGTTAACGGCAAAATTTTGGATCCTGCTGTTGGAAACAATCGCCGTTTTACCCTGTTTGTATTGTGCAGATACTATTGGATTCATTCGCAAGAAAAATATTGAACCGAAAACAAGCCATTATGGTGATCGCCCAAGAGGAGTAGCATTTGCCAGTGAGCAGTTTTGAGTTGGACACAAATTTCCTAACGCTTTGAACGTTATATTTTTTAGAAGCCCCATTATATAATACTGGTGAACAATTCACATGTTTCGACGGTTCAAAGACATTTTCTTTTGCTAAGGTCAATGATGACTATTGTGACTGCCCAGACGGCAGTGATGAACCAGGTGACGAAAAGGCATTTCTGCACTCATATAACTTTGCTGTTCTAAGAGCTTCTTTTACAAAACTTTGCAATACCGTGAAACATGGCCAGTAAAATTGGTCTTAGGTAATTAACTACTAACGGAACAAAGGCGTTCCGTTTCATTGTTGCTATTAGCAAGAACTTTAAGGAAGTCTAATCTGTTTATTTGAAACAAATTGTTCGCGTAATTTCGTATTTCTTCCTGAAAAAAATAGTTTTATGCATTGGTTCTTTTGGAGGCGTGTGAGACAGAGTTTATAATATTGTACATTAGGTACTTCTGCGTGTGAGAACGGTGTTTTTCACTGCATGAATTTGGGCTATAAGGCGGACGACATTCCATCCAGTAGGGTAAATGACCAAATTTGCGGTCAGTGCTTTTATTTTTTTATGATTTTGTACTTCTCTATTTATGCGACCGAATTCTTGCATGACTAGTGCTAAATGACGAAGTTAAATGACGGCTTTTTCAAGATTGCTGTGATGGAAGTGATGAGTGGGACAGCGCTGTAGACTGCCCCAATATATGTGAGAAAGTGGGAGAAAAGTATCGCGAAGAGAAACAACGTAAAGCTGTTGTTATTAGGAAAGTAAAATTCTTTTGTTGATCTTTTCTGTTGCATTCGTTGTACTGCTAGCTTCCTTCAGTGCTGCTGTGTAGTTACAGTTTGTTAAGTGGTCACGATTACTTTCTTTTAAGTCCTGATAGAGAGTTCTAGACTGAAAGATTCATTTCAACTGAGTTTCTTCGGGTATACCTTTTTGTTCCCCATAACAGGGTTATGAGAAACGAATTGCCTTGGCCGCCGAAGGGAAAAAATTGAAAGAAGAAAAAAGTAAAGGTGTTGATAGCATAAAAAAAGAGAAGGATGATTTGGAGCCGTTGCGAACTGATTTGGAAAATAAGAAGAAGGAATTGGAAGAAAAGGAACAAGAATTTAGAGATAAACATACAAAACTTTGGGAAGGTGATCACTTTTAACGTATTTTTTTGTTGTTAAAAAATAAGTGAAGAATAGTTGAAGTAGATTGAAACCGTTACTGTTATCATTTGGTAATTCCTTATCCCGCTGAGATTTTTAGAAATGCGTGAAGAAAAAAAGAAGGCACGTGCTAAAATCCTGTTTAATCAACTTGATTCAAACGGGGATGGAAAGTAAGTTTGCATTTGGCCAGTCACTATTAATCTATTGGCGCACTGGTGTTAAATTTCAAAATGAAATGTTTTGTAGAATAACTGTGGAGGAAATCCAGAAAAGAAAAGAGTGTGATAGTGATGGGAATGGTGAAGTTACTGTCGATGAGGCGAAGGTTGTTTTTTGTAGGATTGATTTTTAAACTAATTAGGTAGCTAACAGCTTTTGTAGAACTTCTATAGTTGCTTAGAGTGCTGTGACTTTGCTTTAAATTGGTGGGCATCCTTCTATTTTTGATTGTTTGGAAAGTTAGAAGAGCACTTGAGTTTTTTGGCAGCGGTTCGAATTTATATCCACTAATATATTTATTCGGTTTATGTTTTCAGGATTTTATCTCAGGGAACACAGAAGTGGATTTCAATCAATTTGTCGACAGTAGTTATGAGCTGGTTAAATTGTTATTCGAAAAGAAGAGTAAGCGGGAGAAATTAGCCGAAGACGAGTCGCTAGATAACAAAGCTGATAGAGAGGGTGATCAAGTGAAAACTGAGACAGATGATGGCCTTAAACAGAATGCGACTTCCGAAGGTCAACATTTTCTAGAAAACTACTGCAACGACCATGTCGTCTTGAATTTTCAATTGTTTAAAGCCAGTGGTAATTTTACTTAGCAAGGAGCCCATTTGCAATGTATAGTCTGTGAATTCTCTGACCGGCTTTACGTTGTCGTTGGAATGGTTAGCAACCACCTTTCCTCCCTCTGCCAGTTATTCCCATGCCATTGTTTAACGGCTGTGAAAGCTCTGAGGAAACTGGTACATTTGAAAGTGGCAAAATTTTTTTCACTTTGTTAATCGGTAGCCTTAAGGGATATTTTGAATTAGTGCTGGACATCTGTCGTCCTTGATGGTTGTTGCAAAAGCACAGTTTTTGAAATGAAACTTTGTTAGAGGTAGAGTAGTTGAAACGAAGAGTTGAAAAAAGGAAGTGGGAATGGATTTTAACGCAAAAGTTTTACACTTCATTTCCACATCCTTAGTAACAGGGACTCGGGATTTGCTCTTTTTTTGATTAAAGATTAAAAGAAGCTCATCATGGCTTTCTTTTCGTACTTGTCTCTATTACGTGCTATTGCTTTCTATGTAACTTACACCAACTTTTTTGTAAGAAAAATGAGAGTTCTGAATTTGTTAAAAAACTGATTGCTTGTAGAAATAACTAAAACGAACAAAATTTTGAATATTCTGCTTTGTTTTATAAATTGGTTTTTTTTAACAACTAGTTGTAGCTTCAGTTGCTCCAATTTAAGCCAAAAGTAGCCGCCTTCAAATCTCTGGTATTATGTAAACAGTATTATGCTAAAATCATCTCTTCCACCTTACAACTCATACTTGCTGTGGAAGGACCGACAGAGAGAGGGAAGCGGAATGTGGAATTAGTAATGACGTGGAAAAAGTCAGAGAGCTGTAAAAGAACTGTTGCAGGGAAAGTTTGCTAGGATTAATAGCCCTACTTTAGATGCTGCTGACGATGGAGGTCAGGAAACGGATGATGAACAGATGCCACCGTACAGCGAAGAAGAGAATAAACTATTTGAAGGCGAGTCTTCTTAATATTTAACAGTTCTTATTGCAGGAAAGAAGCATTAGATAGCCTTCTGATCCCGTTTATTAAAATGGTGGTAGATAGCAGTCCTTCAAGCTCCTCATTTTGATTCCTTTTTTCAGTCTAAATGACTGTACAACTTTCAGCAGCTAGCGAAGCACGAAAGAAGTATAATGAAGTGGACATGAAATTTCGGGATTTAGAATCGTCAATTCGGTATCATTCGTAGTCAACCTGTAAAGGGTTTACCATCTGCTTCCTTTGTGCAATTCCAGCATTTCAGAGATGCTGAAGCGTTTTTAAACGGCGATTATGGCTCAGATGACGCCTGGGCTTCTTTGAAAGGGAACTGTTTTGAAATGGATGAAAGCCAGTACACCTACCGTCTTTGCTTGTTTGATAAGGCTATCCAGAAGGAGAGGAATGGTGCCATAGAAATAAATCTAGGGTACACATTTATCAAGTTTTTTTCCTTTGGTAATTTTGCTCCGGACGTAGAAAGATTTGTATACCCAGAAATAGGCCGACCAGGTCATTTGAACTTCGAAAGCATAGAGGAACTCGACCTTTAAACATTGTTTCTTTCTGATAACATCTAATCTTACTTTCTTCCAGATCCTGGCACGAATGGTCTGGTGGGGCGACAGACAAGTATTCTGAACAAACTTATAATAAAGGGCAGCAATGTTGGAACGGGCCTGAAAGGTCAACCAAAGTGATTCTAGAGTGCGGCGAAGGAACAGCACTGGTGGAAGCGAGTGAACCAGCTCGATGTGAATACAGATTTGTCCTTACGTCGCCAGCTGCTTGTCCAGATCCTAACACATTAGTTGAACATGAAGAGCTTTAAGCGAGATACCAGCACAGCGCTTCCTCATCTATTTATGTTACGATGTTGTGTTCGCAATACAAGCACGCCCCACCCGTGCGCTGTCTTTCCACAGCGAGGATTTACAGCTATTTATTTTGATAGCACTCTTTCCTCAGTTTTTGACTTCTCGTTACATTTGCATTGGCTGTTTCACCAGCTGTCACATAAACTTATCTGAGTTTCAAGCATAATGGATTTTCGTCATGTAAAAGTTCTTATGCTGAGCGCCACTGATTCAACTAGAGAGGTGCGATGTATGGGCACTGGTTTTCACCTTTTCATGCTGTTACGCAGATTGTTTTCCCGCTAATTAAGTGTAGCATCAGGAGAAGCTAGTGCATGACAAGTACCATAGCAGTCCTTAAGAATCAACTGTGGGGTAGCAACCTGCCATGAAAAAATTGACTGAAGTTTTCTGTACATTTTCGAGTAAAGTTCACTTTATTCGTCAGGAACGCAAGCAACGACCGCAATAGACAGCATATGCTGTCATGCGGTGTTACCTCAACATTAGCACTTAGGTGCATGTGGCATTTCAAAAGACGGTGGTTTTGCGGGACTACATCTTTTCTGAAGGTTCGAGGCCTAGAAGTTTCATACCTTCGTGCAGGACTTTCCTGACAGCAGCGAATAGCGACAATCGGGGGATAGCTTTGTCGATTGGTTCGTCCGAAACTCTCAACCTCGCCATGGCAGGGCCAACTGCATTCGCTAGCTTTATCAGGTGCGAAGTGACCTTTAAAAAAGTAATACGAGGAAGGCAGATGTGAAAGGATGATTGGCTACAGGGATCTATATTAATGTCAAGGACTCGAAAGTGAAAAATAGTCAAACCTTGCATGGTTCCAAGAGTACAAAGCTCCCGAATAATTCATCTTCAAAGTTCCTTAAAAGGTCTATTAACCGCAAAGTTTCTGGATTTAATTCTAGTTCATAATTCCAGTCAGATAATACATCTTGCATTAAGTGCCCATTGTGATTCTCGAGAGAGCAGAGACGACTATGTTTCATCTTCAAAAAGAATGGTATTAGAAGACTGGAGTTAAATACATCTCATTAGAAAATCGGGATACAATTCAGATAAGTTTCATAATGCTATGTCCTTGAAGGTTTCACTACCCTTGATTTGATGAATGCTCGGACCATCTTTTCGTCATTCCAAAAATAAAGCGGGTCTTGAAAATGGAGTCACTTTTAAAAACAACAAGTAATAATTCACTAGCAGTTACAAAAAAATGACACTTGTTTCACAGCCGTCTTTACACTCTATCATTTTTTAAGCTCACTACCGACTGCCATATTCCTGTTTAACATGACACTGCCGTATATACAGCAAACTACAACCCAGAAGAACTATTTGAAACTGGTGCTCTAGAAAAGTTCATATGAATCTGCTTTTGGTACTTTTATTGTCTTCAGGCGCTTTTGGTTCCCCTGCCCACCGTTGCCGTACGAATGCATACGACTGGTCACTACCCAAACAAAAATTTCAAACGAAAGTACTCCACATGAATTCCAGAATGAGGTGTAATTTCGTAACCGGGACACACTGACCTGAAGAAGCAAGCCATTTGTCTGGTTCATCTTGAAAGCTCCATCGAAACTGAAGTTATACTCCGATGTGCGATGTCGCTTCAAATCATTTACTACGACAGTCGAAATGGCGAGGTTCCTAGCAGTTTCTAAAAATTACACCTCCTAAGCCGAAGAAAATGTTTAAAAGATCCTGAACAGAATAGTAAACGATTGATTGCCTGAAAAATGCAACGCTGCGTAAGCTTAATTCTGCTGACGTATTACTGCTCAGCTAGCCTTCAAAGAAAGTGGCTAACTTCTGCTTGTTTTTACACCTCCAAATTGCACAAAGATAAAGTAGGATTCTGAAGGCTGACCGGCTTATTATACAACCCCCAAAAAGAAGCAGAAATGGAAACCTGTTTGCTGCACCTGCTGTTGAGGGCGTATGTGTGAAAAAATTTAGCAGTCAACGGTAGTTTATTATTTGAGGAAAGAGGGAAAGACTTACTACAGAAGCTGCTTGGAGAGCAAAGAATAAGCTGGAAAAGGGCGTCTCTTTTAAAGTAGATATTTCAGTCGTTAATTGTAATTCAAATTAATTCTTTCTAAAATGCCTCATGATATGCTTACCTGACCTTCAGTATGGTAAAAACCTGTAGATTCTCTTCTAAGGTACAAAGACACAAGTTTGTCAAAAGTAACAAGAACGGAATTTAGGAAAAATTTTGTGTTATTAAGTCGTTTTTTTTCCAATATTGTGGTTGCCATTTTATACTTTAACAGAATCAACGGATAAATTTTCAAAAGCGAGATATGTCTGCAAACAATATTGTAATCGAACAAATGGTTTTAGACTACTTATTCCCTTCCTTATCACACCACATCAAATAATATACAATTTTTTCTAATACCAACAAATGTTATAAAGAGGAGATTTTTGCAAGTTATAGCAGTAAAATGCGATTTCTTCCACTTCCTAACTCCTGTGTTTTACATGTTGATATTGAGCTACAGCACATTAACCTATCACGAAATATTTACTCTTATGGGATACATATCCTTCTATTTAAAAAACCAAGCGAATTTTTCAAAAAATGCACTAACAGTTTAGCAGAAAAAAAAAACAATTTACGCTTGAATAAAAAAATCTACCATCGGCTTCCTCTGGCGTCACTTTTACTGTTTTAGATTTCAAAATGTATTCCTTGGCCAACGAAAGTCCATGGTCAATAATCTCCGTAACAGCTTCTGTCCTTCCATTTCTTGAAAAAATGAAGAAACTCTGTAGCAGCCTGGCAAAATGAAAAGTGGGCAGAATTTTCCTGTTCTCCTTACCTCGTTGACAAACCTATAACTCTACCAAACGGAATGTGCTCCACTTTCTCTGCAAGCTCTTCTTTACCCATTAGTTTTAAAACGCCCTTCAAGAATTCAAAATGGCGAGTTTGTGATCGGTCAACAACATAGTAATACGTATCAGCGCCATATATTTCATCCCGGTGCAAAATTGAAGCCAAATCCCTAAATAAAGTAGAATAAAAAAAGGGAGAGGACTACAGCAATTTAAAGAGATACGGAACACAATTAGTGCCTGTTTACAAAACAGAAACGCAAGCACAAACTAGCCTAGTAAAATAAATTGTTGAACCATCAGATTTTTTTACTATGACATAACCAGACAAAGAAGGCACTGTAATAACAGTTAAACCGTCTGCAGTCTTCTTGACAGCTCCATCACTGATTAAATTTTCAACAATTTCTCCCGCCAACTTAACTTCCTCCGACTCGCCAGAAATCACATCATAACGAACACCAAGTTTTCTAGGTAAGATATTTAGAAGAATCAGTGAAAGAATGTTTCCAACTTTTAATCTTTTAAAAGAAATGTAAATAATAATTGAGTTCCAAAAATTTTGAAAGAGCTACCACTACTTCCTGTAGCATGTTGGCAGCAAAACCTTGTTTGACAACGTTACATTTAATGTCACTTATTTGTTTTGCTAACACAGGACTCCCAGATGTGTTACAATTAATTTTTTATCCTGCTGGTATTTTTTCCTGTTTAAGCAAAACCAATTTAAAAAAATTGAAGGTTTCAAATTTGCGATCCTCAAAAATTGGAACTAATAGCAAAAATTCAAAAATACAACTTTGATTCATATGAAGCAGTTTAAAACGCCATACCTGTAAAAATCTTCCAAGTGGTTTAAAGAAATGGTTCTAACTTCGCTCCAAAATTTCAAGTGCTCATGATTTAGATTTCGCTTCAACAACTGCTCTTCCATCCGCAGTAAAGTTTTTTCGGCTTTAATTCTGAACTCTTCGTTAGCCCTCCGAAGTTTATTTGCTTCTACATAGGCCTCTGTAAGCAGCTTCAGTTTTTCTAAGTCGCTACAACGGGACCATACCTAAATCAACCAAATAAAACACTGAAACAAAGAATCGAACCAACCAAAATTTAATAAAAATTATGTTTAATTCATAATTTGACGATGGAAACAACTTGCAGACAGGTTAGTTACAAGCACTCGGCAAGTTACAAGCACTAAGTATCCAAGTGGATCCCCCTGCCCAGCTTTTTACTTTAAGTAATTTAATTTGAGTAATCATGAAACTCATCGCCAAAAGTGAAAAGCAGAAAAATAAGATTGTCTAAACATTTACTTCATCTGACGGCTTGTGATCTGGCCAAAACGCTGTTAGGATTGCGAACTGTGTGCCCCAGTCACCTAGATAGTTGAAAGATATAACTTGATAACCTGCGGCTCTATTTACTGAATCTATGAAACGACCGATCAGCGTTGAACTTCAAAATGATTAAGAAAATTAGTTTTTAAGGCAAAAAATGACTTTAAATGAGTTTTTCAGATCTTTAGAACATGGGAAGCTAAAAAACGTTGCTCGTTTCCCAACTCAAGAGGGGTCATTAAAAAGAACAAAAAATAATTTGTAAACAACATGAAAATAAAGTAAAAAATGGAAGGAGGAAGGATATAAACGTGCCGGAAATTGCCAATATGAAACTGTTTCGCAATATTCGGTGATGAATAATCTATTAAAATTTTCTTCTTTGATTCAATTCTGGGGAGAAGCAGTTCGCCAATTAGATTCTCACTGCGTAACACTTTCCGTAAATAGTGTTTCATGAGCTTATCTTCTTAACAAACTTCGCTGAAACCAAAAGGACGATTTCCCACGTTAAAAAATATAGTTAAAATTAATTCGACGGCCAGTTACAATGTTACTGTCAGCGATACGACCAAATAATGCAAAAAATCACCTAAAAAAATAATTTAGCAGAACCAGTTCAGCAGCGCCATCAGTAAATAAACTTTAGAATTAATACATAAGGAAGCACATTACAAGAACAATGACATGTCGTCGTAGTTTCAGTGGTAAAAAGCTCCAAAAGGCTTTATTTTCGGCTCCATCCATAAGTATTCAGGCAGTTAATAAGCAAAAACCAACTAAAAAACCGCATAAAACTTGCAAATGAATCACGTCCTGATTCAATCTCAGTTTAGGAAACTTATCGACAACAACATCAGCCATACTGAAATGAGGAACCGAATTACTTCTGTCTGCAACAAATCATTAAAAATTCTCACTTTGGAAAGAGAAGCTTATATTAACATCAAGCTGCCAGCCGAATTCAGCAGTGGACAACACAAAGAACGATGCAGAAGACCGAAAGGCCAACCTGACTACCCAAGGAAGTTTTGAAGAATAAGACAAAGTATTCTTTCAGATGAGAGGTGTTAAAAGCAATTCATTGAATGAACACAACCAATAATTTCCGAGTTGTTTACGGCTAGAAAATGTACAATACTTGACATTTTGAAGGTGCAGTCATAAGAGTGGCTCGATGGAGCACACTTTCTGGCCTGATCGTGAACACAACCAATAATTTCCGAGTTGTTTATGGCTAGAAAATGTACAATACTTGACATTTTGAAGGTGCAGTCATAAGAGTGGCTCGATGGAGCACACTTTCTGACCTGATCGCTTCATTTTGCAGAAAGGCAAAATTTATTTCCTAAAATCATTCATCAGGATCAGAAAACTCCCATTTTGAGCAATTTTTTCTGATAGAGGATGGATGCTACCATTCTGCATATCCGCCTTCTACAGTCAGCAGTTGTACATTAACCCAATGCTTCCTCTGAAGGACCATTTTGTGTGACACCGCCACTCCAAAAAAGTGCTAAAAACAATGGAAGAAGCGTCAGGAACGAACTCCGCAATCGACCAAGAACTGGGTGCTTTTCTCGGATTTTAAAGATAGATCAAGTTGGCAAAAAATCAACCGGCTCCTGCTCTAGCCAAACCAGTTTCAAAGTTTTTGTTGCCTTCGCATATGATAATTGGTCGGCGGCCGGTGGGAGATAATTGTTCTTCACCTTGCTTGACAGAATCCGTTGAGGTCATCGCAATTTCTGGTTTCTCTACGTAAATAGAACATATGTACTCGCTTCCATTTCCAAACTAATCCTCACGAGCTGCTGTAGCGGAAAGCATATGGGATGTGTGAATTTCAACATCTATACAGCCTCACCAAAAATAAGTTTTTGCACCACTTTTTGGTGGACGACAGGACGTACTGCACAGTACAATACAAAGCAATTTCGCAGACGTAGAAGAAACGTTTTATTGTTAATTATTTAACAACAACAAGTCTTGAAAATTAAAACAAAATACGCCTTATCACTAATTTTTTGCTCACGTAATCCTGTCTAAAATTTTAACTGTATTATACCTGACAGTTTGAAATAGGAAGAAACTAAATGTTTTCCAAGATCTTATTAAGTTTTCACGACTTTAGTAAGTCTACATCGTACAGTAACGGTTACCACGGCTTAACATTTTAAAAGATTTGTAAAATTTGGAAAAACATAAAAAAGAAGAGGAAATCTTTTCGTCTTTCGGTCGCTTTCTTCGGCTTAAACAAGACGAAGGGAACGACTAGTCTACAAGGATCTCAAATTATTCTTAACATCCATCAAGTTATTTTCTGAATCTGGGAGAATTACAATCCTCAGCTTCCAGGTTTTATTTTGTCATCTTTTTTGTACTGATATAAGAAACTGTAACCTAATTTCGTTTGCCTCTTGCACTTTTCAATTTCCATTCTTGTATTATCTATGGGCTGCTGCTGTCTTCTAATTAGTTCACTGCAGTTTGCATCGGTGAATCTCTTTTTTACTTTTTATAAACTACGGGGAAAAAACCATTACCACTAGGATAAGAAACTCATAGATAATAAACTGCAGCAATATTAATGAGAGAAATATTTAGAGACTCACGAAGTTCTATGACATTCAGTAACAAGTACTTCTCATTATCAGGGCCAATCAAAGTCTAATTATTACTAATTTAGGAATAAAGACATGACTAGAGAGATTTATAAATGGACTGAAAAAATCTAAGTGTTGCTCAGAGGTTTCGAAGCAGGGCATAGAACTAATCACAACTAATAAAGCCCAAATTTTCAAATATTTAAAAAGCAAATTACGGCACCAAAAGACAAAATTTGAACACTTTCTTTCTCACAAATCCTACCATATTCAAGCACTTTCAATGGTAATTTGAAACACTGAATCCACCTCTGATTTAAAAATGCGATCTTGCTACATTACTCTCGACCCAAATTTAAACTGATCAATAATGCTCGTACTACATTCAAAACGTATTACGTTTCGTAAAACTCAAAGAAATAAAGTTAAGCGATCCAAAGAACCTAGTAAACAAACCCAATGTGCTTCAAAAGTGATAAGCGGCTGAGCATTGGTTGGCAAAACCAGCAAAATACTAGATCTCTAAAAGCTAAACCAACAGATTTAGAAATAAGAAAGATGAGTCTCCACGTAACAAATGAAGGTACGAATATGGAAGAGAATAAAAAAAATCCTACCTCAGGCTAACAACAAGATAAGGCCGAGAAGGGGAATGAAACTAGAAAAGGTCCTTCAATCCCAAAAATAAGCAAAGAGCAAAGCAATTTTTGAAATAAACCTCACTACACTATACATCCCGAATTCACAGAGAACAGGCAGAGTAAAGTGACATCCGTAGCATTCCCGACAAGTGCAATTATACAAGCCACACTTTATGTGTCCCTCTGGTAACTGTTATTGCTTTTGTCAACCCCTGCAGTGTTCGGTGGAATGCACGATAGTACAAATGCAGAAACGTGCAGTAGAGATCGAATTTATGAAAGAAGGAAGAAAGTGTTAGCTTGCCTAAGCAAACTTTCGTTCCTAGGCTGATAAAGAACGTTTAAAACACTGTTCCTCACTTTTTTCAAATGCTGAAATCAATGCTGCTGGATTAGAAAACTCCAAGAAAAAAATTTAATTATAGATACTATTATTAGCTAGTTATGTATGCAAATCGAGTAGCTGTACTTCGTAGACCGTCCAAATCAAACGTGAAAACAAGGCAAACTACACTTGACAGCTCCACTGGTCTTTGAAAACCCAAGAGACCTTGAAAATTTCTTTCGGTTTCAAAGTAAAAACTATTACTTACAAAAGAAAGTAATTTGCCCAGTGCTTACTTTGCCTATGATCCTACTAAATCAGCAGATTCTACACATTCAATGCCAAGATATACTTAGTTCTACGTCAAATGGAGTTCTAACCATTCCGACAGTTGCCGTTAATATCCTCCTCCACAAAGTGTTGATCAGAGCTAAGAAGGCAGCCGGCAGAGGTTATCCTCTCCAGGCCCATTTTTCTCTGAAAGTACCCCACTGCTCGTCAGCGCTCTGACATATACCTCATTAAATTCTGTCTCATTCTTTCTTCTTTTTATTTCTTCTTTTCGTAATTTCTGCAAATTCCTGGAAATTTTGGAATAATTACTCCAACGTCGCAATGAAATGACTTTCCAACCGCCGTTTATCAAGAGATTCAACCCTTCACCTTTCGTTTTCCCAATTCTTATTGGTCCCTTGAAAACGAAACCTAGGCGGGAGCGCAAAGGAAACATAATAAAGCGACCAATCACTAGCTTCCTTCCGAAATCCCCTCTTATATTTATCTTGAAAGTTTAGATTCACATGTAAATCTACATGACAGAATTTTATAAGTAAAAGAACAGTTCCAGACTCCCGGTCTGATACCTCACTAGAATTAACAAAAGACCATTACCCTACTAAGATTATCTTATTTTGATACGAGCATACTGCACATTTATAATATGTCTTCGCGTCCTGCCGCAGTAACGGCTTTACTCTGAGACAGTAAATTTTGCTGGATACACTTTGTAAAATGAACGTTACATATGAACCATAAAAAATAAACAGAGCTTGGGAAGGCCACAGAGTAAAAGGCATAAAAAGAAATCAAAAGTCTAGAAACGCAGACTGGAATATAAGCAAAGAAAAACCAAAGAATTATTGACACTATACAAATCTGGGACAATATTGACCAATACTTCATTCGGTTACAGCCTTAACTCTCTTGCTTGACCTCTTTCATTAAAGCATCCTCCCAAATAAGAGTTAGCCTATCAAGTTTAGTGCCTTGACGCAACACTTCAGGAATTTCCATTGAAAAGTTTAAAAACTAACAAAAAGACGGTTTAAAATGCTCCAAAATACTTAATTCCTGCAGGAGAAAGATGAGGAAACTTTACGAATCAAAGGTACAAAAAATAATGTCTACCAAGCTACAATCAGCCTCCAAATCTAAGATAAGACAGAAAATGCTTTTTCAAAGATGTTGCTCAAGAAATAACTAAATCCTGC